ATTGGAAGTCCTAGCCGCAGCAATCAGACAAGAAATAAAAGGCTTCCAAATTGGAAGGGAAGAAGTAATAAAACTGTCACTATTTGTAGATGACATGACACTCTATATAGAGAACCTTAAAGTCTCCACACAAAAACTATTAGAACTAATAAATGAATTCATCAAGGTAGCAGGATACAAGATTAATATACAGAAATCTGTTGCATGTCTTTACACTAATAACGTAATATTAGAAACAGAAAGTAAAAAAGAAATCCCATTTAATATTGTGTCAAAAAAATACCTAGGAATAAACTTAATCAAGGAAGTAAAAGACCTATACACTGAAAACTATAAAACACTGATAAAGAAAACTGATGGTGATTTAAAGAAATGGAAAGATAACCCATGCTCTTGGATTGGAAGAATGTAATACTGTTAAAATGGCATCATATTACCCAAAGCAATCTAAACTTTAATGCAATCACTATCAAAATACCCATGACATTTTTCACAGAACTAGGACAAATAATCCTAAAATTTATATGGAACCACAAGAGACCCTGAATTGCCAAAGCAATCCTGAAGAAAAAAATAAAGCTGGAGACATAACCCTTCTAGGCTTCAGACTGTTCCACAAAGCTACAGAAATCACAGTAATCAAAGCAGCATGTATTTGGCACAAAAACAGACAAACAGCTCAATGGGACAGAATAGAGAGCCCAGAAATAAACCCACGCACCTACGGCCAGCTAATCTACGTCAAAGGGAGCAATGATAGTCAATGGAGAAAAGACAACCTCTTCAAAAAGTGGTGTTGGAGAGCTGGACAGCTACATGTAAATCCATTAAACTAGAACAGTCCCTCACACCATATACAAAAATAAACTCACAATGGTTTAAAGACCTAAATATAAGACAGGACACCATAAAAATCCTAGAAGAGAACATAGACAAAATCTTCTCTAACGTAATTCATAGTAATCTTTTCTTAGCTCAATCTCCCAAGGCAAAAGAAATAAAAGCAAAAATAAACAAATTGAACCTAGTCAAACTTAAAAGCTCTTGCACAGTAAAGGAAACCATCAACAAAATGAAAAAACAACCCACGTACTGGGAGAAAATAGTTGCAAACAATATGACCAATAACTAGTTAATTGAGGGTGGGATAGGGAGGGTGGGAGGGAGACACAAGAGGGAAGAGATATGGGAACATATGTATATGTATAACTGATTCACTTTGTTATAAAGCAGAAACTAACACACCATTGTAAGCAATTATACTCCAATCAAGATGTTAAAAAAAAGAAGTTAATATACAAAGTATATAAACAGTCCATGCAACTTAATACCAAAAAACAAACAACCTAATCAAAAAGACATACAGATGGCCAAAGTCACATGAAAGGATGCTCCACCTCACTAATTGTTAGAGAAATGCAAATCAAAACTACAGTGAGGTATCACCTCACACCAGTCAAAATGGCTATCACTAAAAGGTCTATAAATAACAAATGCTGGAGAGGGTGTGGAGAAAAGGGAACCCTCCTACACTGTTTGTGGGAATGTAAGTTGGTGCAGCCACTATAGAGGTTCCTTAAAAGACTAAAAACAGAGTTACCATATGATCCAACAATTCCACTCCTGGGCATATGTCTGGAGAAAACTCTAATTCGAAAAGATACACGCACCCCAATGTTCACAGCAGCACTATTTACAATAGTCGAGACATGGAAGCAACCTAATGTTCACTGACAGATGAATGGATAAAGAAGTTGTGGTATGTATGTGTGTGTGTGTGTGTGTGTGTGTGTGTGTGTGTGTGTGTGTAATATTACTCGACCATAAAAAAGAATGAAATAATGCCATTTGCAGCAACACGGATGGGCCTAGAGATTATCATACTAAGTCAAGTAAGTCAGACAGAGAAAGACAAATGCCTTATGATATCACTTATATGTGGGATCCAAAATATGATACAAATGAACTTATTTACAAAACAGAAACAGACTCACAGATGTAGAAAACAAACTTATAGTTACCAAAGGGGAAAGAAGGTGGGAGAGGGATAAATTAGGAGCTTGGGACTAGCAGATACAAACTACTATATATAAAATAGATAAACAACAAGGTCGTAATGTATACCAGCTGGTATACTGAATCACATTGCTGTATACCACACACTAACACAACATTAAAAATCAACTATAATTCAATTAAAATTTTTTAATTAAAAAATAAAAAGTAAAAAAAAATTGAAGTGAATCTCTTGTCTATAGTACTAAAAAAACAATGTGTTATATACATATATACAATGGAATATTACTCAGCCTTAAAAAAATGAAATATTGGGACTTCCCTGGTGGTCCAGTGGTTAAGAATCTGTCTTGCAATGCAGGGGACGCTGGTTCAATCCCTGGTCGGGAAACTAAGATCCCACATGCCGCAGGGCAACTAAACCCACGTGCCGCAACTACAGAGCCCACATGCTCTGGAGCCCACACACCACAACTAGAGAGCCCGCGTGCCGCAAATACTGAGCCCACGCACTCGAGTCCACACACCACAACTAGAGAGAAGCCTGCACACCACAACGAAGAGCCCATGTGCCTCAACGAAGGATCCCACATGCTGCAACTAAGACCCGATGCAGCCAAAAAATAAATAAATATTTTTAAAAATGAAATATTGGCATTTACAGCGACATGGATGAACCTAGAGAATATCACACTTAGTGAAGCAAGTCAGAGAAAGACAAATATTATATGCTATTACCTACATGTGGAATCTAAAAAAATAATGCAAATGAATCTATATACAAAACAGGAAGGACTTCCCTGGTGGTCCAGTGGTTAAGACTTTGCCTTCCAATGCAGGGGGTGCGGGTTCGATCCTTGGTTGGGGAGCTAAGATCCCACATGCCTTGCGGCCAAAAAAAACCAAAACATAAAAAAACAGAATATTGTAACAAATTCAATAAAGACTTTAAAAATGGTCCACATCAAAAAATATTTAAAAAAACAAACAAACAAAAAAAACCAGGAACAGACTCACAGAGAAAACAAACTTATGGTTACCAAAGAGGAGGAGAGAGGAGGGCAAAGTAGGAGTATGGGATTAACAAATACACACTACTGTATGTAAGACAGATAAACAATAAGGATTTACTGTATAGCACAAGGAATTATACTCAATATACTGTAATAACCTATAGTGGTAAATAATCTGAAAATACATATATATAAGTGAATCATCTTGCGGTACACCTGAAACTAATGCAATATTGTATTAGCTATACTTCAATTTTAAAAAAAGAAAGAAAAAAGGCATCTGCCTTTATTTGCTTCATTTTTACCCTTGCTTCATGTACTGAGTGATAATGATGTTATAAAAGTATGACTAGGGCTTCCCTGGTGGCACAGTGGTTGAGAGTCCGCCTGCCGATGCAGGGGACACGGATTCGTGCCCCGGTCCAGGAAGGATCCCACGTGCCGCGGAGCGGCTGGGCCCGTGAGCCATGGCCGCTGAGCCTGCGTGTCCGGAGCCTGTGCTCCGCAAGGGGAGAGGCCACAACAGTGAGAGGCCGGCATACCACAAAAAATAAAAAAGTATGACTAGCATTTATTTTGTTCCAGACCCTATTTGTTTAATCTTTACCACTACCTTTGAAGGTTAGAGATTACTATCTCCATTTTACAGATGAGAAAACTAAAATCTAGAAGATCAAGTGGTTGCCCAAGGTCACACAGCCAATAAGCCTCAGAACTTGGATTCTGACTCAGGTCAGTGTGGGTGGGAGCCTTGCCCTCTCTAGACAAGAGGGTCACACCCCAGAATGGCGCCTCCATTTACAGAGCCTTCACTAAGTGTCAGTACTGGGCCGAGTCCTTGAACCACATTTTTAATTTATTCTTCAAAGCACACTTACAGGGACTTCCCTGGTGGTGCGGTGGTTAAGAATCCGCCTGCCAGTGCAGGGGACACGGGTTCAATCCCTGGTCCGGGAAGATCCCACATGCCGCGGAGCAACAAAACCTGTGCGCTACTGAGCCTGTGCTCTAGAGCTCGTGAACCACAACTACTGAGCCCACGTGCCACAACTACTGAAGCCCACGTGCCTAGAGCCTGTGCTCCGCAACAAGAGAGGCCACCACAACGAGAAGCTCGCACACCACAATGAAGAGTAGTCCCCGCTCGCCACAACTAGAGAAAGCCCGCATGCAGCAATGAAGAGCAAATGCAGCCAAAAATAAATTAATTATTTTAAAAAACCCACACTTACAAGGTGAGCGTAATTATTCCCACTGTACCACAAGAAAACGGAACGTAGAAGTTAAATAACTAGATTAAGGTTACAGAGCTAGTAAGGGCAGAATTGCAATTGGGTCGTTATTGGGTCGGTATTGGGTCGTTACAGAATTAGGGAAAAACCCAAACAACCTTTTTGGGTTTGGCCAACCCAGTAAATTTGGCCCATCAACTTCAAAGCCCACCTCACAGGGTACCTAGCACAGAAAAATGCTCTAGTGAATGGAGAGGTGTGTCCTCCCTGTCCCCCAGCAACAGTGACAAGAAAGTGATATAATATTTATCAGGTAAGAATCTTCTGGGTTACATCCCTAAGTCACAGCCTTTCATAAGCCTGTTATATGTATTTTGAAATAACACATAAAATGAGGGAACTCATAGATACTGAAGGAGAGGCCTGGGTTGGCTGCATTTATTTCTTTTTAGTCTCTGAACCATGGCCAAAAGATTCTCAGGTTTAAAACCAAAACTATTATCTATTTAGTCTTGATTCTAAAGCCAAACTCTCACTGCCAGTCCACTCTATAACCAATTACCTGATTCTTCTTAGAGAAGACCCTTCAAATATCCTGGATTAGATTCTTCAAACTCTTCAAGTTTATCAAATAGACTAAAAACTTGACCAGAGCTAAACGGAAATTAATGCTCAGCATGGTACTGGGCAAAACTGAGTGTTCATGGAATGAGGAAATAAGCCACAAATGAAACACCAAGTTGTCAATGCAATTTATACAACTTTAAAATTTTAACATAATTTCAAACTTACAGAAAAGTCGCAAAAGCAGAAAAAATTCCTACACACCTTTACCCACATTGGCTACTTATTAACACTTTGCCCTCTTTGCTTCATTACCAGTGTGATTTTATAAACATGATAATGCAGAATAAAATGATTTCATAGCAATTATAATGAATCAATGTTTTTTAAGATGGTTCAAACTCAAGTTAAAGGGAACACCACTTTGCTGCCAGGATCACCAAGTACAAATCTAACCACAGCCTTGAACTGGAAAGCTCACTGGATTCAACCAAATCTGAAGCCCATACATAACGATGGGTGACCTATGTCAGGACACCCGGAAGTTTCCAAAGTGACCATGGTGATGTCCATTTCAATACGAGCTTTTTTTCCAAAGAATCACTCCAATGGCCTTTGAAAAAATAAATTATTATTGTTAAAACAATATTTTTTAAAAAACGTTGCAAATGGAAAAAGGACTCCTACCCAAAAAGTAACCGAATGACAAAAATCAACCCCCCAAGTTTTCCGGCAATAGCAACCAATATGGCTACCGCCCAGAACTCTCTTTCTGTTGTGACATTTGAATCTCCGTTTCCTCTGGAAATAACAACAAAGCAGTTTCATTCCGATTATTTGGTATTTCTCAAAGCTAACCACGAGAGCCTACATGACCTCACGACCTTCCACATTTGATTCCACAGATACCGCAATAATCACGTACCTGTGATTCCCTTAAAGGGCTGCACGTGGACAGACCTCCTTTCGGGGCTTGGAGAGGCAGTTGGGTTATAACTGGTTCATGTGGTGCAAAAGCTGTGGGGGAATGGGCTAAAACCACAGTCCTGGTGCGGACTGGACGGCACCTAGGCACAGCTTTGTTGGAGGAGGACATCACCTGAGTACACAGCCTTCCCTGGGAGAATGCACTAGTACAAGCTCTTCACCAAGTGGTTATGCAGACACCTGACAGCAAGCAGACGCGTTTCCTGGCCTCTTCAACTTGTTTCTGGTTGCCTTCAGCTCCTGCCAATACAGCCTGGATTCCCTCAGTAAATATCCGCCAGTGAAGTCACATGAAAAGATCGCTCCAATTCACTCTCATTGGTGGGTTTCCAAGGGTAGAAGAATACAGTCCGTGTCTCCTCAGTCATGAGAAAACCATTGTCACTGAATCTCCCTGGGATGCTTCCTACATCCAACCAAACAAAGGGAGCAACAGCTGAGGTTTTCAGATGAAAAACAAATGTGTCCCCTTGCTGAGAGATGGTGGCCTGAAAGAAAAAGATAAATGAAGTGAAGGACGAGGGCAGAGCTCTCTATTCTATATACAGCGCCTATCAGAACATCGATGTGGCTAACAAGGAGTGCATTTCCTACAACTTTGGTCCTGCAGCTGCTAAAGTCATACATTCCATGCACTGTGTCAGATGCTAAAAACTATGTGGAAATGTATTGAAGGCTGTGGAAAATTACCAAATTGTAATCTCAAACCAGGCGGGGAGGGGGGGAATATGTAGTCTCCAATTATTAAGGAGAATATTTCACACGAATCTCAAGGCTTTGTAGCTTTTACAGCTTTATACCTTTTTCTCAGGGTCTCATCAAGAGAGGCACATTTCTGCACCAGGGCTGGGTGTTTTAAATGACTTTCTCAGAATCTGTGTGGGGCTGGCTGCAGGGCACAGCCATGGGGCTCACCTTCTAGTCTTCTGAGGAGATCCTGCAATCTAGGCAGCAGCCGGCCGGGCATCTCCAAAAGCTCTACCACTAGAGCTCTCCCTCTTTTATTGCATCGTCAGTAAAGTCACATTATTAGCACTTCTTTTTTATTCAGCTCAAATTAATTTGCTTTTCATATTACTCTTGACAGATTTACTAACGTTCATTCTTAGGTAGCTATCACATTGTACTTATTTAGAATTTTTCAAGTATTCGTTTTATTTAATCTGAACCATCTAAATGAAATTATTCATTTTCCTATTCATTTGGATATAAGTCCATCCAACTTTGAAATATTTGAAAAAATCTTCGTAATGTGAATTCTCAGCTTTGTAATCTGACCCTTCACTTTCTTACTTTAATTTTTTTTCCTTCTTTTTTTAAATTCATTTTTATTGGAGTATAGTTGCTTTACATTAGCACTTTTAACATGTGTGAATCCCACACGATATCAGCAAAGGAGAGCACAGTTTAAGTCTTGTCATTCATTAGCCTCTTAGCACAGGCAGAGAGAGAGGCAGAGATGCTTCCTGGAGGCTGGGGGTTTGTGAACCTCTCTCACTGTGAGTACACAGTTGAGTGGGACCTGGTATTCAAGCCGTGCATCTGTCATGAAACATGACTCTTCCACATGCATACATGCCACGCCGTAGGTTTGACATTATAGGTTATGTGTGACATAAAGAATTTCCAAGGGCGATTTTTACTATACATAACTTAGCCTGAGAGAGCATGCAGGGTTCTGAGTTATTAACAAGAAACTCTACTTTGGTAGAAGCAAAAAAGAAACAAAATGTATTAGGTAGCTCTCAGAGGGTCAGAGATGCAGGCTTGAAGTTAGATGTCAAATTCCCAAATCATTCCACCCACCTATTCTGATGAAGACCCTAAAGCAGTTGCAGGCACACAGTTTACATGGCTGGCCCTGGCTGCCACCAAGCCTGCAGGGAAGCCTCAGCTACTCTGTCCCAAGGCCAAGGCCAGAAGGGACACTGGCACCTGCTCACTCTCGTTGTTGCCTTCTTCTGATCGGAAACCTCATCTCTGCATATCTGACTGCAGAGCCCAGAGCTCAAGCTTGTATTCTGGCTTCAGGGACACAGGGAGGAAAACTCAGTCCCCAGCATCCCCCTGAGGATAGTACATCCAAGCGCCTGGCCTACATTAAGCCTACAATAACGTTAACTATCATTACTATTATTATTGCTATTATATCCCTTTAGGATAGGCAAAGTCTCATTGAAATCCAATTGAGGTAGGGCAAAGGAAGAAGTCCTACCTCTCCCCCAGCCCAGTTATCTCAAAGTAATGGAGGCCCAGATGAGGAAAGAAAGATTCTGAAATCCTGTCTAGAGACTGCAGATTTGTCTACTACATAGTTTTGTGCCTTTTTTCTGGAAAGAAGCTATGTAAATGTATGTCATTTCCTTCATATTTGCCCTATATCAGTTGTGACAGATAGATTTCATTATGGGAATATTTCATTATTAATTGGGAAGGAAGCTAAGCTAAGCTATGCTATCTCTATTTCAAGGACTGAGTTTTGATATGATTTCCAAAGCAAATGTAAAAAATCCTCTCACTTAAGTCTTTTCAATGAAATCTAAAACAAACTTAAAATTGATTAAAAATAGAGGATGAAAATATTTTTCTAGAAAGTTTCAATCACTACATGGAGAGGGGGAAAGGGAAGGAAAGGTTTTCAATCAACTAGACAGATTCCAAATTTCCTAGCTACACAATTTTTTTTTTTTTTTTTTTTTTTTTTTTTGGTACACCTGCCTCTCACTTTTTTGGCCTCTCCCGTTGCGGAGCACAGGCTCCAGACGCGCAGGCCCAGCGGCCATGGCTCACGGGCCCAGCTGCTCTGCGGCATGTGGGATCTTCCCAGACCGGGGCACGAACCCGTGTCCCCTGCATCGGCAGGCAGACTCTCAACCACTGCGCCACCAGGGAAGCCCTAGCTACACAATTTTTATAACAACACATCCTATCCTGATCATCTCTTTTTTTCCCTTGGCAGTGATAAAGAGAGTTGGTGACTGAGCAACATGGGAGCAATAAATCAGAGAGTAGAGTGAAAATTTTTTAAATGAATAGACTCTCCTTAAAAATGCAAAATTAAGAGTGCTTCTACCGGCTCCATTGTTTCCTGGCTATGGACTTTATAAACACGTTACTCAGTCCCTCCAAACAGGTTTGCTCACTTGTATATGCAGATGATAATAGTTCACGGTTGATGCAGTAAAGCCCCCAGGACAGACAGAGCCTGGAACCTAAAGGAGGAGCAGTCAGTGGTGATGACTCCTGCTGCCTCACCCTCCACTGCACCAGCCTGACTAGGGAGATGTGATGGGACAGCAGGAGTGGCAGGAACCTTAAGCTTTGACAAATACAAATAATAAAAATTACTTGCTCTTTGCTTCCAGTGGGAAGGGGCCAATCTTCCCCGGGTCCCAGGTAAGCTCAGTACCAAGGAGAAATTTTGCAAAAAAGCAGGACAGTTCCACAAAGCCATGGTGACCCCAGACCACGGGTGCTTACAGTGATATTTGCCTTGTGGAGCCCCTTGGCCTCCTTTGGTGAGGACAGGAAGTGATAGTTGGTTGGGCTCAAGAGCTCCCTGGCAGTTGACAGGTAAAAGGAAACCACACAGCTTTGTCGTGTACAATTTGTACATCCTCTTAATAATTCAGCTACTGGCTTATCATAGAGAAGAGCAGACTCCCCTGCTTTCATCACAAAAGGCTTCGTCGTCTCAGAGCACACGGGCTCCAGGGAACTCCATGTGTGGACTCTCACCTGGGGAGAAACAAGACAGAAAAAAACCAAACATTCTTAGTTACTATTTTTTTTAGAGAATAATAGGAGTAATAATAGATGAAAGTCAGAATAGCAGAACTGGTTAAGAGACTGTGAAACTTGGGTTTAACCATAGCCCCACCAAGTACTTGTCGTGTAACCAAGAAGTTAACTTCTCAAAGTATCCATTTCTTCAAACGTAAAATGAGAATAATAACAGCACTAACTCCACAGGCTGTTGTGAGAATTAGGCAATTTATGGAAGGCACAGGACCTGGCGTGTTATGGTTAATTCATAGACTTGACTTGTTCTCAATGTCCTCCTAACTGTAGCCACCCAAGACTTCTTTGAGTTTCTATCCTTTCTTTTACCTAAAATTGTTTTAAATACAAGTTCATTTTTCCACATATATATTCTGAATAATTTTACTGATTTCCACTTTAACATACTGTCTTAAATGAGTTCTTTTGGTAAAGTCTAGCCTATTTCCAGCTTCTCATGATTATAAATAACCTTAGATTTAACTGGCATTTTACAGTTTACAATGCACAGTCATCTAATGACTGTATTTGCTATCCATAGAAATCCTTTAAGAAGGCAGGCTGGTGTCATTTTACAGATGAGGAAACTGAACCAAGACATTAAGGTCATAGAATAAATAGAATTTTTCCCTGAATATAGGTTTTCCAATTCCAAGAACAGCTCATTTTCTGCTGCAAGCACTAGAGACATTTTGATACAAATTAATTTCTTTTTTTTTCCAAAAAAGAATAGAACCAAATAACTAAAGAAATCTAAAATTCGCCCTCTACCACAGAGAGAAAAAAACTCCAAGCAACTTACAGTGAGCATCATCTTGTGGTCTGAATGAAGGTCTGACACACCGTAGATGAAAAACACATCTTCATTCTCAAAACCCACCGGCAACAGCGGAGCGAAGAAATGACGAGCAAAATAATGAAGCATTTTCCACTTTCCTCCATACTCTAAAAGTAATCAGTTGGGTTAGGAAACAAGGGTCAAGCAGTCAGAGTCATCATCCACAGGGTCCAGCTGTGTAGCCTGTCATAATTCAGGGCACTGAGCATTGAAGGGAGAGCGGACAGTGGAGGGAATCCATGTTTGTTGAGGGCAAGTACCATTTTTGGACACCACCTCATGTCAGCCTCAAATCTGAGCGAGGCAGCCATTAACATCGCACTTTTCAAATGAGGAAATGGAGCTCAAGCAGTTAAGTCAAACATGCCACTGGCAGTATTTTGAGCCCAGACCTGATTCCTAGCTAGCACTTTCTCATATGCAATTCTGCTTCCAGAAGCTCAGTGTACCGATGTTCCTTTTCCCTACATACACATGAAAAAGGGAGTCAGGAGCATTGGCAGTGAACATCTGTTACAAATATTCATTTTGCTAGTATTACTTAGCAAAAATACTATTGTAGAGGCTGGCCAAGATGGTGGAGTAGGAAGACCCTGGGCTCACCTCCTCTCATGAGCACACCAAAATCACAACTATTTACAGAGCAACTATTTATGAGAAAGACCAAAATCTAGCAGAAAAGATCATCTACCACTAAAGGTATAAAGAAGGAACCACAACAAGATGGGTAGGAGAGGCAGAGTTGCACATAGTCAAGACCCACACCCCAGCAGTGGGTGACCCACAAATGTAAGAATAATTACAACTGCAGAGGTACTCCTCAAGGAACGAGGGGTCTGAGCCCCATATTGGGCTCCCCAGCCCGGGGATCCTGCACCAGGAAGACAAGCCCCCAGCCCCAACAATGTTTGGCTTTGAAGGCCTGCAGGGATTAAATTCAGGAGTCCCAGAGGGCTGGGGGAAATAGAGACTCCCCTCTTAAAGGGCTCACACGAAATCTCACACACTCCAGGAACCAGGGCAGAAGCAGTCATTTGAAAGGAGCCTGTCAGACTCATTTGCTGATCTTGCAGAGTCTGCCAAAGAGGCAGCAAGCAACTGGAGCTCACCCTGGAGACACAGACACTGGCAAGCGCCATTTTGGAATTCTCCCTCCAGCTGATTGGCACCAGGACCCAGCCTCACCCACCAGCCTGTTCACACCAGTATTGGAACGCCTCAGGCCAAGCAATTAGCTGGACAACCACCAGCAGACAGGCTGCCTTAAGACCTCCTGAGCCCGAGGCACCTCAGGACATGGTCCTGTCCACCAGAGGGCCCAGGACCCAGTGCCATATAACAGTGTGCAAGCACTAGCCTCAGGACCCCCAGGGCCTGGCAGCTACAAACCCTGGGACCCAGCCCCAGCCACCAGCCAGCCAGCACTAGCCCCAGAACATCCTGGGCCTTGGCTTCACCCAACAACAATTCAAAATCAGCTCTGGGACACTGGGCCCTGCAGCCAGAGACGCTAGGAGTCAGCTCTGCCCACCAGTGGGCCAGCACTAGCCCCAGGACCCAGATTCACCTACTGGCTCCAGGATCCCCTGGACACCAACTCCACCCACCAATGGGAAGACACCAGCCCCAGGACCACTGCAGCCCTACAGCCTACCTTGTTGGACACAGCCAACACAGCAGATTGGCACCAGCCCCAGGACTCCCGGGCCTGGGCCCCACCCACCAGCAGACGAACACCAGCTCTGAGAAACCTTGGATGCCTCAGCCAGCTGCCCTGGGATCCAGCCCCACTCACCAATGGGCCAGCATCAGCTTTGGAATACCCCAGAACCTGCAGCCAGCCATATCAGGAACTGGCCCCACCCACCATCAGGCCAACACTAGATCCAGGAACCCCAGTCCTGTAACCACCCACCCCAGAACCTGGCTCTGCCCACAAGTGAACCAGCAGTAGCCCTGGGACCCTCCAGGGTTCTGCAACCAGCAGCCTCATGACCCAGCCCCACCAACCAGTGGCTGGCAGGGTCCACACAAGGCAGGGCCTGGAAACCAATTGGGCCAAAGGCCAGCCATGCCTACTAGACCAACAACATCAGTAAGCCCACCACACAGAAGGACCCATGCACCCCACATAGGGGGCACCCCTAGAGCGTATAGCTCTGATGACCAGAGGGGAGTGAGCTGCTGGGACGCACAGTGTACCTCTTACAAAAGGCCACTTCTCCAAGATCAGGAAACATTACCAACCTACCAGATACATAGAAATAAAAAAAGAGCAAGTTAGGCAAAATGAGGCAACAGAGGAACATGTTCCAAACAAAGGAAGAAGATAAAACCCCAGAGGAAGAACTAAGTGAAGTGGAGATAGGCAATCTACCTAAGAAAGAGTTCAGGGTGATGATCATAAAAATGATCAAAGAATGCAGGAGAAGAATGGAGGAACACAGTGAGAAGTTTAACAAAGAGTTAGAAGATATAAAGAACTAAACAGAGACGAAAACTACAACAATTAAAATGAAAAGTACACTAAAAGAAATCAACAGTAGATGAAATGATACAGAGGAATGGATCAGGGAGATGGAAGACAGTAGTGGAAATCACAGAAGCTGAACAGAAAAAAGAATAAGAAGAAAAGAGAACAGTTTAAGAGACCTCTGGTACAAAATCAAGTGCACTAATATTCACATTATAGGGTCTCAGAAGGAGAAGAGAGAGAGAAAGGGGCAGAGAACATATTTGAGGACATAGTAGGCTGAAAACTTCCCTAACCTGGGAAAAGAAACAGACATGCAGGTCCTGGAACACAAACAAGATCAACCCAAAGAGGTCCACACCAAGATACACTGAATTAAAATGGCAAAAGTTAAAGAAAGAATATTGAAAAGGGAAAAGCAACAAGTTACATACAAAGGAACTCCCATAACGCCATCAGTGGACTTTTCAGCAGCTCTGCAGGCCAGATGGGAGTGGCAGAATAAATTTAAAGTGATGAAGGGAAAACCTACAAACAAGAATACTCTACTCAGCAAGACTTCCATTCAGATTTGATGGAGAAATAAAAGTTTTACAGACAAGCAAAATCTAAGAGTTGGGCACCACCAAACCAGCTTTACAAGAAATGGTAAAGGTATTTCTCTAAGTGAAAAAGAAAAGGCTACAAATAGAAACATGAAAATTATGAAAGGAAAAAGCTCATTTGTAAAGGCAAATATTAGGTAGTAAATCAACCATGTACAAAGCTAGCAGGAAGGTTAAAAGACAAAAATCATCTATATCCACAATAATTAGTTAAGGGATACACAAAACAAAAAGATGTAAAATATATCAAAAACAATAATCAGGACTTCCCTGGTGGTCCAGTGGTTGGGACTTCACCTTCCAATGCGGGAGGTGTGGATTCGATCCCTGGTCAGGGAGCTGAGATCCCACATGACTTGCAGCCAAAAAGACGAAACATAAAACAGAAGCAATATTGTGGCAAATTTAATAAAGAGTTTAAAAAAAACAACAATAGGGCTTCCCTGGTGGCGCAGTGGTTGAGAGTCCGCCTGCCGATGCAGGGGACACGGGTTCGTGCCCCGGTCCAGGAAGATCCCACATGCCGCGGAGCGGCTGGGCCCATGAGCCATGGCCGCTGAGCCTGCGCGTCCGGAGCCTGTGCTCTGCAACGGGTGAGAGGCCCGTGTACCGCAAAAAAACAAAACAAAACAAAAAAAACAATAATCATGGCGAGGGTGGGGGAGTAAAAATGTAGGGTTGTTAAAATGTGTTTGAAATTAAGAGATCAGAGACTTAAAATAATCATATATATTACATTACATCATATTATATATAGATTGCTATATATAAGCCTCATGGTAACCACAAACCAAAAATCTACAATAGATAAACACCAAAAAAGAGAAGGGAATCCAAACATAACTAAAGATAGTCATCAAATCAAAAGGGGAGAGAAGAAGACAGGAACAAAAAAAAAGAACTACAAAAAACAACCCCCAAACAATTAACAAAATGGGAGTATATACCTAACAATAATTAAATGTAAATAGACTAAATGCTCCAATCAAAAGGTACAGAGTGGCTGAATGGATATAAAAACAAGACCCATACATATGCTACCTATAAGAGACTCATTTCGGATCTAAAGATACACACAGACTGAAAGTGAGGGGATGAAAAAAGGTATTCCATGCAAATGGAAATCGAAAGAAGTTGGGATAGCACTATTTATATCAGACAAAAGAGACTTTAAAACAACGACTGCTACAAGAGACAAAGAAGGACATTACATAATGACCAAGGGATCAATCTTATATAACAATTGTAAATAGCTATGCACCCAATATAGAAGTGCTATATACATAAAGCAAATATTAACAGACACAAAGGGAGAAATTGACAGTAACACAGTATGAGTAGGGGAATTTAATACCCCACGTATATCAATAGACAGATTATCAAGACAGAAAATCAATAAGGAAACACTGGCCTTTAGTGACACATTAGACCAAATGAACTTAATAGATATTTAGAACATTCCATCCAAAGCAGCAGAATACACATTTGATCCAAGTGTAAATGGAACATTTTCTAGCACAGATCACACGATATGCCACAAAACAAGATTCAATAAATTTAAGAAAATTGAAATCATATCAAGCACCTTTTCCAACCACAACCCTATGAGACTAGACATCAACCACAAGAAAAGAACTGCAAAAAACACAAAGATGTGGAGGCTAAATAATATTTTGCTAAACAACCAATGGGTCACCAAAGACAAAGAAGAATCAAAAAACACTTGGAAACAAATGAAAACAAAAACAGAATGATCCAAAAATCTATTGGAGGCAGCAAAAGCAGTTCTAAGTGGAAAGATTACAGTGATACATGCTTACCTCAGAAAACAAGAAAAATTGCAAATAAACAACCTAACCCTACACCTAAAGGAACTTAGAAAAAGAACAGCAAACAAAACCCAAAGTTGGTAGAAGGAAAGAAATAATAAAGATCAGAGCAGAAATAAACAAAATAGAGACATAGAAAAAATAGAAAAAGATCACTGAAAACAAGAGCTGGTTCTTTGAAAAGATAAACAAAACTGAAA